CGGGGGGGGGACGGGGACGGGAACGGGACGGGAGCGGGAACGGGAGCGCGTGGAGCACGGGGAGGGGACGGGGACGGGAGCGGGACGGGAACGGGACGGGAGCGGGACGGGAACGGGACGGGAGCGGGACGGGAACGGGACGGGAGCGGGACGGGAACGGGACGGGAGCGGGACGGGAACGGGACGGGAAGGGCACCGGGAGCGCATGGAGCGCGGGAAGGGAATGGGAACGGGATGGGAAGGGCACTGAGAGCACCAGGAGCGCATGGAGCACAGGAAGGGGATGGGAACGGGATGGCAAGGGCACTGGGACCACACGGAGCGGGCGGAAAGGGAATGGGAAGGGCACGGGGAGCGCAGGGAGCACATGGAAAGGCATGGAAAGGGCACGGGGAGCACACGGAGCACATGGAAAGGGCATGGGGAGCGCACATGGAGCACATGGGAAGCATCTAAGGAGCACATGGAGCACATGGAAAAAGCATCAGGAGCACAGGGAGAACACATGGAGCATAGGGAGCACATGGAAAGCGTATGAGGAGCACCGGGAGCACACATGGAGCACATGGGAAGCACATGGGGAGCATTGGGAATGCACGGGAACACGCGGGGAATGTATGGGAACACCTGGGGAGCACAGGGAGCGTTGGGAACGTGCCGGGAGCGCAGGGAATGCATGGGAAGCCCGGGAACACCCTGGAAGCGTTGGGAACGCACAGGGGGCGTTGAGAACCTACCAGGAGCGTTGGGAACGCACGGGGATCATGCCGGGAGTGTTGGGAACGCCCGGGATCGCGTGGGGAGCGTTGGGAATGCAGGGGATGGCACCGGGAACGTTGGGAATGCCCGGGATCGCTCCGGGATCGCTCCGGCCCTCATTGCCCGCCCCACAGCTCGCCGTGCAGAAATACGAGGAGATGTTCCCGGCCTTCAGCGATTCCCGGGAATGCAAGCTGGTCAAGGTGAGCGCCGGGCGGCATTCCCAGCGCCGGGATGGGCTCCGGGATGTCCTCATTCCCGGCGCTCCCCTTCCCTAGAAACTGCTGGACGCCCACGAGGAGCAGAACGTGGACGCCTACACGGATGCCGTAAGCCGGAGATGCCGGATTCCCGGCGCCGCTCCGGATTCCCGCCGGAATTCCCGCCGGGATTCCAGCACGGGGATGCCCCATCCGCGGCTTTCCCGCAGGTCAAGGAATTCGACTCCATTTCCCGCCTGGATCAGTGGCTCACGACGATGCTGCTCCGCATCAAGAGGAGCATCCAGGGAGAGGAGGAGGATCTGCGCTGAGCGGGAATTCCCAGCCCGCTCCGTATTCCCACCGCGCCGGAGGGCGGCAGGAGCCCCCGGCCCTGCTGCTCCCGGGAAACGGCCCCGTTCCTCCCGGGAATTCCCTCTCTCCATCCCTGGGAATTGCGCTGTTCGTCCCTGGGAATTGCCCTCCTCATGGCTGGAAGTTGCCCTGTTCGTCCCTAGGAATTGCCCTCCTCATCCCGGGGAATTGCCCTCCTCATCCCGGGGAATCGCCCCGTTCGTTCTTGGGAATTACCCTCCTTGTCCCTGGGAATTGCCCTCCTCATGGCTGGAAGTTGCCCCTACTGGTTCCCAGGGAATCGCCCCGTTCATCCCAGGGAATCGCCCCGTTCATCCTGGGGAATTGCCCCCCTCATC